GTAGCGTTCTTGCTCCTAGTAGCGATGCCAGGAGCCCCTAGTAGCGTCCTTGCTCCTAGTAGTACGGCCAGGAGCCCCTAGTAAGCGTTCTTGCTCCTAGGAGCGATGCCGGGAGCCCCTGGTAGCGTCCTTGTTTCATTTTCGGTGGTCAACCAAGGATACCTTAACCGGGCAAACACGCTGGCGCGCCGGGAGCAGCTCGTGCCGTTCTTCACCAAGTGGCCAAAACCATGGCATGCACCGCCTTTGCCGTGAGCAACACCGCCACCGTATCACCTGAACGGCAAGTTCCAGCGACGGACCGGCTGGGAAGCTTTTTTCACCACAAGATCCGGGCCACCCCGGAAAAAGGAACACTATCTGATCCTATCTATTCTCTATCTATCTGATGCAAAAGACCTTGAGAAACGTACCAACATCCATCAACATCCTATGCTTGTGGCCTTGAGGCTTTGGAATCTTTGAGAGGACTCATCTGGCAGCCAACCCACAAGTCTTCTTGAAACATGATCGGATATTCGGACGTCGATGTAGCGATGACACACACACACACACCATCAAATGAGGAGTCAAGCCCCGATCCCCAAACCCACCGAAACCCCTTCAGGCAGCTCCCGCCCGGGGGGGCGTCCGACGTCTCCGTCTTCCGTCTTCCATGGAACGGGTTTGGGACCGCCACCTGCTTCAAAGCCAAGAGGCGCTTCGTGAGTTCTCCTCGGATCTTCAAAAGGCCCTGAACCAACTCGGTGACGTTGAGGGTGCTGGTGCCATCTGCATCAATCACCTGCCAGGTAGCGGTGATCTTGGCCGTGGTGACAAAAGGCGCCACGGTTGCCATAGCCACAACAGGTGCGATAGGTGGAAGATCTATGTGGATATCCTGAGTGGTTGTCATGATCGTCGATCCGGCAATTTTGATTTGTATGGTTATCATCAGTTATCATCTTACAGATTTCTGATGCTACATCATTCATACTGTTGTGGGTGTGGTTCAAAAGAGAGGACCTGGAATGACCCTGGAAGGAATGCCCCTGCGATGGACCACCAGGGAGGTCAACCTGCGATGTTTTATTTTTAGAGGGTCCAATTCTTGACTCACAGCCAACTACTGAATGAACACCAATCACGTCTAGAAAGGCCTCTTGATCTCCACCACCTTTCAATGCCTTCTGCCCTCACAACACCGGTCGGGTCACCGCGGTCGGCCGCGTCGCCCGGAAGAAGGTCGGTCGGACCTCGAAAAGATTGGCACGATCTGCTGGAAGGTCTAAGTCATTCATGAGCTGTTGCACCCGCTGATCCTGAAAGAAGAGGCTGCCCACCATCGGACAGGCTTTTAAGGGTGGGTTTGCATGGACCATGATGCTAAAGCTTCCGTACACCCCTTGGAGAGTCATATAGAGGAGCACACATACATTCAATCAATACATATTGTTGGGTTGGGTTTGCATTTCGAGTCTTCAACGTGGTGCAACCAGGTGCGCAACTTGGGAAGGATCTTTCTGCGACGCAAAGTCATGTTGCTTCATTCTGTGCATCTACATCTTGAATGAATAAGTGTACAATATATGATGTTATTGACTCACACGCACACCAGTCATTCAAGGTGTAACAACACCAATTGGGGATGTCGAAGAAACCATATGGTTTTCCCTTGCTTGTCAATCTGCACATCAGGGTATACCAGTGAGTCACCCGTTTTCGCGCTTTCCTGCCACCAGCTGCTGCAAAAAGCCGAGAGTATCTATGTGCCAGCTCAGGTTGTTCAGCTCAAACACGACCGTTGATGGGACGGAAGATCGAAGCACCCGCAATGAACTCAAACACCGCCAATTCCATCTCATCCCATCCTATTCACTTTCCACAACATCTTCATCCTGCTCTGGGAGATGCTGGAGGAAGTTTCATGGAGGCAAACCAACGAGCACCTGTGGGAACCATATGAACATCTACTGAAGAGTCCAAAGAATGTGGATTCGATGACTCTCCATCCTCACCTATTGTCCAACGAGAAAGGACAAAGGACCACACGTTACCACAGCCGGTTCTTCGCGAACCGTAACCGTCCACGCGGGGACGTTCATCCCGGAGGACGGTCCTGAATCACCAGGAGAAAGAGCTCTTTGGTGATGGCCTCAGGTGCTCCACGGTGCGAAACCGCAGACCGGTCACGGTCCTTGGTTGTTCGGTCCTCCGTCATCGTCGCATGGTCCGGGGGCCCAGGTCAGTTTGGACATCAAATCTTGCAAACTACTCAACATAGCATGATCAGCTGCACTGATTCTGGGAAGTGTATCTTACATCCAGTGGCTGATATGGTGAAATGGTGTGATCAAATGCAAGATAGATATCATATCAGCAAAAACATTAAAACGTTCACAACGAAGCCCCACTGTAGTTGACAGTGCGTCAAGTCCTTCAACAAACAACACCCTCCCGCCACGCCCTATTAAATATACGAAATATAGTATATCAGAATCATAGTCGTTACAGAAAACCTCAGCCCTACAATGCCCAATCCACCATTCTTGGTCCCCACATCTGGAAGGATTGGGATCGCATTCCAAGCAACAGTCCCAGTGGCCCAGCCCACCTCGAACAAGTTGTGAAAGAAAAGCACCCCCGAAAAGAAAAACCACCTTCGAAGCGTCCTTGGACGAGCCACGATGGTGTCCGAAATGTCGTCATCCAGGAAGGTACCGCTGTTGAGTCTCAGGTCTAAGTTCTTGATGGTCACACGATCCTCAGAGTGTCTGAGCCTGGAGCCAAAAAATCTTCCTGCAGCCTGCTCAACGATGGGGGTTCCCCATTTGGGGGACTCATGACTCCGTGACCAATGCGTTTTTGTTGGGTTGACCGGTTGATGTGGCTTGACCACGCTTGGCCAACACAAACCTCAGAAACTGACCTGGCTTGAAGGGGGGCCTGCCCCCCATGGCCAATACCTTGCATATATAAGTCAAAGCTTCTTGAACTCCCAGTGCCCACCAAGACTCCCCTTCGTCTCGGTCATAGAAGACACGGTGTGCCTGCCAAGCGCACGTTTGGGCTGCTGCAAGCTGTTGCTTCCAAAATGGGAGAAAGCCATGTAGAATCTGCTCTGATCTAGACTGAGTTCACCGTTGAAAAGACTATCACCCTGTGCAAACCGGCGCATTCCCATCAGGCCCACGACACGATCCTCTGCGAACTTCTTGAGAAGTTCACCTCATGAGCCAAGTGGTGGAAGCAAAAATGTAAACAGACTTGGGCAATATCTTGGTTTATTCCTTCGTAGTGTCCAAATGCTTTCCATCTCGCTAGCCAACAAAGAGGGTGTTTCATCTCGTCCTTTGTTGGGGAGTTGACGTTTATCAGGCCTTGTAGCTTCTTGGGTCTTCTTTTGATTACTCCCAACATGAAACAACAACAAAAACGATTGCCTGTTGCATTTGCGAATTGTAGCATGTCTCAAACAATCAAGCAAGTATGAAGAGAGAAGGCTAGCACTGTCGAGGCCAGGGTTTGAGCAATGGTTGCCTCTCATCCAAACCTTCTTGTTGTCTGACCGACTCGTTGTTCAATCAATACAGTCCATAAGTAAAATACTGTATTGCTACAACCCAAAGGAATACATGACCCATCATGACCCCAACTCCTACATCCTTTCCCCAGGTCAACCACCCCAATCGTGTTAGGCAACATATAGCAGTCCCAAACAGTTCGTGTCTTTGGACCCCCCCCGAAGAACCCATGCAGAAAGCACCGTGCTTCTCCCCACACCGTTCGCTTGCGCTGGACCGACCGATCGTCAGTCGTCCCATGGACCGCGCCGCGCTACCGCGCGCCACCGCGCGGCCACCGAGCGGCGGGTGGTGCGCGCAATGCGGATGGATTCCCGAGAATATTGCTCAGCAGTGGAGACCTCGGTCTCCTGAAGGTGCCGAGCGTTTTGCGGCAGCGGAAAACGCTGCCAGGGCTGGCTGGATGTCAGGGGGGTCTTCGTTGAGATCGACACTTAATTGAATGGACGCTGATGTCAGGCCCAGCTAAGCCGTTGTTCTGGGCCCCTTCCCGGTCCTTGGCTGCACGCATTGTAATGTCCACATAAACCTTAGCATGCAGCACACATCATGGACAGCAGCCGACTTTAGTCGGCCCAGTTGTTCAAGCGCTCCTTCATGATCCTTCCAATACCTGTCAAGATTTCTGAAGTTTTCGTTAGCCATGCATGTCAGTATGATTCAGTATGCTGTTTCTTCCCAGGCTACCATGCTCACTGCTGACTTTTCTGAAACCATATGGCCAAACGGGGTGACTTACCGTGTCTCGCCACCGAGGGTGAAACAATGTGTTGATAGTTGAATCAATGCTGTCTGAGCGTCCGCCAGAATGACGTTGAAGATTCCTGTTGGCGATTCGATCAAATCATGACGTACTCAAGGTAAATTAAAGCCTTTGCGACAGTCAAACAGGGATTACAAAACTTGCAAAAGAAAACAGTCACCTGTGATGATGCATGATTCTTGGGCCCATGGTATTGCTTGCTCGACCCAGGACTCTGGACACCCAATGCTTCATCTGATCACCTATATAATATATATATATATAATCAGGGACGATGAAGCACATTAAGTTGTTTGGTTCATTGCAGAACAGTTGCTATAGTCTAGCGAGAACGTCAGGAAGTCAGGATTTGCATACTGGAGCCAAAAGAATCTGGTGGGTTCTATGCGCATGAGTCTCGCGCTCTCTCAGTCTCTGTCTTTCTCGCTCTCTCTCTCTCTATATATATGTGCATAATATATAGATATGTACTGTACATCTTTAGACCCTGCACAGAATGCAAACACTCACATGCAAATCCCGCCGAGCATCCTAAAGACACCAGCATGCAGCTCAAGACCTGGGCTTCTCGACGCGTGATGTGTATATTGGGTCATGGGTCTATCTATCCTATTACCACTAACGGTGGATGATAACGGTTAGGAAAGGCCTTGTTTCAAACATAGTGATAATTGTTTACGGTAATAGGACAGACCCAATCTGTGTATACTAGATGGTTGCAATTGGTTGCATGATGGGACCAAAAAGGTGTCCTGGGCCGTCGGGCCTGATATTTCATGATTGGTCAGCTCCGCAGGTCTTATGACGGACAAACACTCAAAATGACCGCAGGGCGAAACTGCAGAGATTCTTGTTACTAATAGCAAATTAGCTACAAATAGCGATGCCATTGTTGCTAGTAGCGATGCCCTTTGTTACAAGTAGCTTCTTATTACTATTTGATACTATTTGTAATCTTGTAATATCTTGCAATCCATTTCTAGATCACAATAAACGGACAAGGCAAGGAAAACAACATCCTCGACAACGCATGGTAAACTGGGTCCGGCGTAAGGAGCTTGCAAAATCCCTTGCATCCTTTTTATGAACAAAATGGGTGTGTACCGCGGAAGAGGAGACCCCCGGCCGTGGCTCCCATGAGCCATGGGTCGTGAACCATGTGACCTTCGGCAGGGTAACAAGGGCTCTTCATTCAACAAGGGGTATTGTCAGTATTGTAGTCTTGAAGAGGAACATATTTCTCGCAATGTAGACGTAGACTGTTGCCAGTTGGTTAAATAAAATAACATATGATGATATGTGAAACATGATTTCAGATCATTTCAGCATGTTCTTTTTGATCAAGAGCTAAGTCTACCATGAGGTCTTCGTTGTTCAAAGGGGTCCATGTGCTTCCGCATCGTCGGTCGTCCTTTCTTCGTCTCTCATTTTGCTGCGGCGCATAGAAGATCGCAAAGGACCAACCCAGCTTAGTGGAGAGCACAGCAGCGATAGGCAGGCCTGCGATGGGCACTCGTTTTTACCGGCGATGACCCATCTGTTGGAGCGTCCCAGCGGTGGGACTCCAACGGATCTAGAGCGTCTGATAGAGCATGGATCTTCGAGACGGTTTGAGACAAACGAGAGGGGTGGTGAAACTGGTCACTTGTGAGACAGATGTTTTCTGCTCATCTACAAAGGCCCTTCCAAGGAATTCTGTGTGATTGTGCCTACCAAAAATGAATCGGAACAGTGCTTGGGATCTTGCATGTCCAGGCTTCTTCAGCAAGTAAACATTTCTTGGTATGGCAGGCAGCACCCACAACCTCGTCACCACAACCAAGTGGACCCACAACTTTCGCTCCACTTGGTGGCATGGAGCCCAAAGCACCCGGCGAGAAAGTAAAACAACTCCAGATCCCACATTCTTCTTGTAGTTTTGAGCCTGATACCTTTCCCAATCCTCAAGCTTTCAAGGTGCTCGAACTCCCAAATCCACATGTTCTCTTGACTTCGTTTCGGTCGTCGTCTTCTTCCCGCTCCGGGCTCGATGTAATGTCGAACCCTCCGGTTCCACCGCGGGGGCCATATGTGTATGTATTGCCACACCACCCCGGAAAAGGAAAGTAGTTGGAGCTACCAGCTGCTTCCAAATGGGTCACCAGGCAAACAACATCAAACAACCCCAATTACACTACTATACACATCTATACACTACTTATCCATTGAGTACTCATTGGAAGCACCAGGTAGGGCTGGTGTCTTTCTTTGCCGCGCCTGAATCGGCGAAGCATTCGCCCGAGAAGCAGCGGAAGGCGGTGAACATGGACCTGGCGATGCGATCGTGCCAGGATTCTTGAATCCCATCACAGAACATTGGGAACTCAGTTCAGGTATTATGCTGAAGGCCTTTCCTGCAGTGTCATGTCCGTTCGTACGGTGTCGAGTCGAAAGGCATAGTCTCGACGCTCAATTAAATACCAGGCGCCTCTATATCTGATCATCGCCCGAAAGTCTACCCTGAGATTCGCCTCCCGTAAAGGTGCCGTAGAGGCTGGAATCCATTTTGGGACGGGGTCCTTGCCAGTATCACTTGCTTGTACACGTGGCCGTATCCCCTCTATAGCAATCAGTATCAAACAACCAACCAATTATCACAATATATATAATATTACATAATATATAACAATAACATATAACCAAACACCATCTATGCTGGAATCTTCCTGCTGGGTCCCTCTTGCAGAAGGCTTCAGCTTGCCCATTCACTCCTTTCGATCTCAAATGATGGCCCAGAAAGGCGTTTGTCCGAAGCTGGTGCTTGTGGCGAAGAAAAGAATGAAAGACCGACACAACAAACCCAAACACTCCATGGGACTGGCATATTTTCTGATTAGATGGGGTGATTGATTCCGGGTCACAATGTATTCCAGTCCCATGGGCTGTGTCCGTGAAAAAAGACACAACAACGGCAGCAACAACACATAAACTTCAACGTGTCACGTTTATTGTTTTTGTTGCACCTTTCTTGAAATCTGCAGACCCTCACCTGGCAGCCTGGCACAAGAACAACAACGGCAACGACAACATAAAAAACAACGTGTCGAGACGACCCGACCTGGGGATGTTGTTGAAGTGCCCTTGGAGATCCAACTCCGCCGTCCGCTCGTCGCGGCCCAAGGTCATCGTCGCGAAGCCAGAGATCACGTAAAGCACCTGCATGACGGAAGTGACCGTGGAACGTGGACGATATACAAACGGCAGAACGGCACAACGAGCTTGGTCAAGCCTGTGAGAGGAAACATACATGAAATCGTGATGCAAAATAACAGAGTTCATATGTTACGTCAGATTACAAAGCAGTTCTATAGGTTCGCAGGCACTGGGGACTGGGGAGGGAAAACATGTAAAGCCAGCAAGGAGCAGGCAGGAAGGCGTAATCAGCAATCAACCCACAGTCCCTGTCTATAGAGACCGTGCCTCTGCCATTTGCTGATGCAGCCAATGGAAGTCCGGAAATCCATTTGTGTGTGTACATATTTATCATGTTTCTTCCGGTATCATGGTGCCCGCACATCAGTTTAAGGGAAGTGGTATTAGCGGAGCTGACGTAGTGTTCGCCGCATTTCACTGCTCTCTCCTTTTGTCTTCAAAGGAAGAACTGTGATTTGTCTGCTATGCTCTGTTGAAAGAGCATCTCCGAATCACCTGATGAGCTGTCAACAGCCTGCCGTGTCTGCCAAGGCGCGGCAAAAAGCAATGCAAAGGACAGCAACAACCTGGGCACAGGCAACGAGCCGGCATAAAAAAAACACGGGGCGTAATGGGAAAGTACAGCCCTCACCTCGCAGAAGAATGGTGTCCAACTTCCAATAACCTTTGGTTGTTCACCAAACAAGAGTCTGAGACACACACTTGTTGAAAAAAATGAAACAAGTACTTGTGAAAAGCATTCCCTTTTTGCTCTTCCCAGTGAAGATCGCTCGGAAGTGACGCATTCTGACACAAGCAACTTCTCAAGGACACATGTCACTAGAACATGTGAAACTCGACCTTATTTGCTCTTAGCCGCCCCGTCTTCCGGTGGTCGAAAAATGTCGAACATATACCCATTTCTTCGTGTGATCGTTGAATAACAAAACACTTCGGAATTCTTTTGTTTCATTTCTACTTTCGTTTCGTACGCACCGTAAGCTGGTCCACTTGCTCACCGGCAGGGCCCTGAGACGCGCAAAGCAGGCGCTGAGAACGTGGCGTGCGCATGCCAGCCACCAGGCCCTTCACCATCAAACGGAGCTCCTAAACAAGCGGACGTCAAAGCACTGAGGTTCTGGCAAATGAACACTGGCCGCCTGCCACAATAGTCCCAGCTCCAAAGTATCTGTTGACATGGTTGACATGTCACTCAATCCCCCCAAAGAGGCTACGATTCCTTTGTCCCTGCTTGTGGGTGCTCATTTCCCCTCTCCAAGCCCCGCAAGGAGACGTCCTTCATGTAGTTCAGGCGGAAGACTTTCCTGAGAGCCATGATGACAAGGACAAAATCACGCTGCCTCCGTGTAACGGCTGGTGAAACCATCCAAACTTGTCGAGGTTCTGATTAAAAGCCTCTACCGAGCCTCTACCTCCTAAGAGTTCCGATACAAATGTCATAGCCAAACCAGTAAGCGCAGGAACAACAACGGAGCAAACGATGTTCTGCTGACACAGACCAGTTGAAAACCTCCAGTCGACCTGCACTAGTGAAGAGACATCTACCCAGAGATGTTGGGTGAACCCATCTCGGCATCCGAGATGTGTCAACCATTTGAGACTGCAAGTCCCATCAGGTGGGTCTCCCGGATGGCGGGTCTCCGGCCCGGTGCCGAAGGCTCTGGAGGGGTGCCACCCTCCGGAGTCACAGGACGGGGTGCACGAACTTTGGGTGCCCAGACTTCCACTCAGGACTAAACACCACCCCTGGCTGGTGACTCCTGGCTGGAAGAATTATGATGATGTTGGATGTGGGCAGAAAAACCAAAGCCTGGGACCGACAGGGTTTAGTCTGCTCTTTGACCAGTGGGTTTGCCACGCTTGCTTGGAGAATAGCGGCTTGATGCTTCACAACCTCTTGCAGAAATATCCCCAACTCCAACTCCAATGTCCGTCCGATGGGATGCATTCTCCTTGGACTGACCCACCGTTTAGCCATCAATCTGAAACCGGTCATTTGCTTGCTCAAAGATCTCAAAGGATACCTGGATGACCCAAACTGTGGATCCATCCCACAGCATGCACATGTCCCAACGCAAGCAGCCCTCTGCCCCTCTTCTCCGCTGCACCAGGCGTCACCACCCGCACCAAGCGGATGAGGCGACAGAACCGCAACAAAGAGGCACCAAACATGTCCTCAGCCAACACATCACGCAGCTTTTCTTCCAACATTTCCATGTTCAAATGATCCAAGTTGGAGCTTACTACATCTGATTCGACCCCAACTGGGAAGCTGTCTGAGTTGTCCACAAGATCCGCCTACCCTTTCGGACCAAGCCGCTGCATCTTGCTCAGTGCCTGCCAGCTGGAAGACCACATCTGTGACGGCCTAAGCATGCAGCACTCAAGATTCTTCAGACGGTCCAAACGGCCACTGGGTGGAACCACCTGAGCCATGCGGTTGTGAAAACCCTCGACTCGTCACAACCCCTAATTACGAGACTCCCACCACATGTTGGAGCCGAAATCTCTGAGTCACCATCTGCTGTTACCAAACGTCAAAAGGTCCCCTGAAAGGAGAGGCCCCTTCAGAAATCCCCTCATTCGGCCTCTTTTTCGCCAAGGCTCCCTTTTTTGGGAGGCCGAATGGCAGGAATGGCCGCCGAGAAAAGAAGAATGCTTACTTCTTTGGCAAACAATTTTGATTGACATGACAAACCGTGCCTGTTATAATCCCGGAAGTATACGATCTTATATATTTTGTTGTTGTCATTTTTTTGTTTTACATTGTTTTAGGCAGGGGTATTCTTTTAAAAACATCGTCATGCATGTTGCATCCTCCAAATCCCTTGCTTAAGAGAAACAAAGGATGAGCCGAACCCCTCACCAAAAAATAGAACTCAACCACGAATGCAATTGATCCCTTAGTTCATCCACTTCTACCACTGAGCTCGGCAACTGTCTGTGATCCAACTCCCTCCTGCTTTCCCCTTCACAGGTCCACATTGGAACCCCCAAAACCACTGTATAGGTCATAAAGGAACATGGTCGGCAGTGGTCCACGGGTCTCCCAGGGTCCAAGCGGTGACTGAAGCTCAGCGGAACCGACATGTTGAGGCTCTGATCGATGAGGAACCACTCCGATGAACACATAGAAGTGCATGGCACCATTATGTTCGTAGATAAAAGTTTTAATCCACTTCCACGTTAGCGAGACAGAGGGTATTTCACAAGTTGAAGGGAAATAACACACACAGACCCCGCCGCATCCTGCGCCGCATTCCATCCCTTGTCCGAGCACCGTGAGCACCAGGAACATGTCGAAGAGGTTCCTGAGTGAGCACCCGGGGCTCCATGGCAACAACAAAAAACCTTAAACAATCTTAAACAACACAGTGTTCAGTGCAACCAACAACGACAAATGTGTCATGGAACCTTGGGTGCCTTTGCCAAGCAAAAAGGCACAAGAACTGCAACACTCCCTAGAATCATCATGGAAGTGGATGGCATGGCCCCTTGGATGACTATTTCCTCTACAGTTTTTCACATCCATAATGATTTCAGGAAGTGTATAAATTAAAGTGACTTGTGATGTTCGGGCTGCCAAGCCTTTTTTGGTACTCCCCATTCATGCATTGCGTCTGCTTCGTTCCGGTGCTCATCAACCCGTGGCATTGCCAGAAACACTTTTTTTTAAATCAACCAAAGGAAGGGGGACCCCGGGAAGACCAAATGTTGATCCTCAGGCATATGATCTTGTATGTGCTTCTCATCAACATGTGCAGAAAAAAAAAAAAAAAAACAAGTCCGTTCATCCAAAAAAAGAGTGTTTCCCATCTCAAGTCATTTGGTTCCTTCATGTTCCTTCTCTGCTAGCTTAGGGTAGCCACCTTGGGGAGGTTTATCCTGTTTATGGTATCACGGCACCAGCCGAGACTACAAGGGGTGCAAGGGTTTAATGAAGTAAAGTAAAGTAAATCACAGCCGGGTCTACCTGACACTTGCAAAAGCCCAAGACTCCAATGTACGTCAGGTCCGCAAAAGAACTGCTGACAGCCGGACAGCGAGAATCGCACAACACATTCCAAGACCAGCAAGACTGCCTAAGTCGTCTTGCGGAGTCTCGTGGATCCACGATTGACCAAGAATTGATATACACATATATATATATATGACATGTAAATAATGGACAACTTACCTTACATTGACACCTGAAACCACTGAAACCACCCAATTTAGGTAAATTTGCCAGTTCCATGGCTCTTGGGAAGGCTCAAAGGGCTATGGAAACACCAATGCATCATCAAACTGGAAGACTCTTCAACCACCGCAAGAGAGGGACGAATATGCCAGTCCCATATAGATTGTCTGGGAAACACCCCCAAAATACATAAATGTGTGTCCACCAGAGGTGGCTTTATTCTAGAAATCATCAAACTTGAAAAAAAGTATGTTTAAAAAAACAAACCAAAAAGGCACAAGCAAAACAAAGAGCAACCAAGAAAGCAACCAAAAATGCAACCAAAAACACACAAGCAGAACAAAGAGCAATCAAGAAAACATAAAAATAATGCAACCAAAAAACACAAGCAAAACACAAAGGGTAGTTTGGGGGGGCCGGGTAGGGTTAGTACTGGACAAGGGTCTTTTCTGGCGCCGGGTCAAATGTCGCACTTTTGGTCGTTTTTTCCCGGCGCCGGGTCAGAAGTCGCACTTTTGGTCGATTGTTTTTTTCCGCCGCCGGGCAAAAGTCGTACTTTTCGCACTTTTGGTCGTTTTTGTTTTTTTGTTTGTGTTATTTCTTTTTTGCGAACAAACAACGGTCGACGGTGAACAACAGTGCGACTTTTTACCCGGCGCCGAAAAACAAATAAAAAATCACGACCAAAAGTGCGCCAGAACGTGGACCCTTCCAAAACTGCACCAGAAAGCCCGGCTGAGTTGTTTCATTTTTGCTTGCATTTTTGATCAATTTTGTTTTTGTGTTTGTTGTTTTTATGCTTGCTTGTGTTTTCTGGCTGCATTTTGTGATTGTTTTTGTTTGCATTTGTTTTGTTTCTTTTCACACTGATAAACTTCTAGAATAAAGGGGTCTGGCAAACACACACATAAATATTGTCAAACCGGTGCTGTTCTTATTGAGTTGCTGAAAAAACCCAGCAGATGCAGAACCATTCCTTTTGATAAATACCATGTTTTAGGTGGTGGGCACTCCAACGCAAGGATCAAAACAACGTTGTTTGTTAGACAAACCATCTCTGGTGGACAAACCATCCGAACCGACGTGTGCACATTCCAGTCGGGCTTGTGGCGCCGCGGAAGGCGATGCACAACAGGCCCAAGCAACGAACGGGACGAACGAAACCAGCTGTGCTATGCTCTACTCTCCGTGGGAGATGTTCTACCCATATTCACGCCCTTCCTTGACATTACTGAACAAGTATGCTGGCAGCGCCGGGCAGTGATGAATAATACACTCAAGTTGGTGAAAAAAGCTCATCAAAACATCAACATCATGCGTATATCATGCACAAAACAGCTTTTACTGTCAGTCTCAAAACGACTCCGCTGCACACATCTGCCTAAACCGCTGCACTCATCGTATGTTTGGCGTTTCGGCCCTTGGCCGGCTCTGCTCATTCTGGGTATCCAGGCAAATGCCACCTCGATGTAGGGCCAGCCACTCCAACCCTCGAAGGTTGGATCGGTCTGAAAGCCGATCATGATGCCGTTCCTCGGCGAAGCCCGCGGGGAGGAAGCCGAGACTGGGGTGATGAGATAGGTACTGTGAGAGATTGTGAGAGATAAGTTGTTAGGTAAACTGAAAAAGACTTAGTATGTATACGGTACCCCATCCTATCAGTTTGGTCCGCCTCGGGCCTCCAATACTAAACGCCTTTCAAAAAACACACTCAAATTTCACACTGACCCCCCCAATTAGTTTGGTCCACCGTTTTGGGTGCAATTATTGTTTGTCTCTTGGCCTGTTTGCCTCTTGGCTGATGCTGATCAGTCAGACTGATGACCTGATCGTGGCCCATCCCTTGATGGAGGAATGAATAAAGCCCTTGGAGCAATTGGGCGATTGCAATGAACCTGAACACCTCATTGACATCAACATCCTGCATTGTGGAATCCTGCCTGTCTTCCAATGGCTCTTCTTCCATATCTTCAGCCTCATGCTTCTCACCGGATTCTCCTTCTCCACCACCTCTAGTGCATCTCACTGCTTCCTGGACCCATCTCTTCATAAGAGTCTCATTGCTCTTGATCTGGTCACAGATCGTTCCACATCACCCAGAATCCCAAAACCACTCACCGAAAATCCTTTATAAACAACTGTCTAAAACCACTGCCAACAACATCGTGTTCAAGCTCCCAAAGGGCCCCCCCATAATCCTTCTATTCATAACTCGCCCAATTAATTTGTCTTGCCCCGGCCTTGGAAAAATGAAATAGTTTATGAATTGCCTAAGTAATCAATTAATTACTCAATTCACACCCCAAATTCCTTCCCAAGCGCCTCAATTATTATTGGCATGAAGGGGATTTAGTCTTGGGGCTCCCTCCTCATAAAGTGCATGAAGAGATTGAGTCATTGGTGCCTCTCCTCATGAAGAGATTTAGTCTTGGTGACCGCTCCTGATTGATCCCCCCTATACAGTAAATCAAAGATCAAATTGCACTTTTCTGACACCACCGCAACCAGCAAACCTTGAGAGGGCGGTTATTAGTCAACATTGTATATGTAGACAGTACTTTATTTAAATATTACACGCCAGCATACAGTCACTGCATATGCGCTGTAGTATACATATGGTACTGCTGGGGATATTCCTTGGTTGTCACATGCTCCTAGCCTGTAAAGTACTTGAAATTGCTACTGCCCACCTCTGATCCCAAAGACGGAAACATCTCGGCTAGCTGTGCTTTTATCAAGAATGAACAACACTTGTGCAAAGACTGAGATCCTTGAGGTGAGTTATTTTGTGTCAGGATCCAACATGGATCGCACCACTTGGGATCCGAGTGGTTTAGCCACACCTACCGCGGTCATACCGAGCTCAAGCGATGGGTGGTGTTCTTTTTCGTCATGGGTGCCTGGGTGGGGTCTCTACATCTCTCTATCTCTGTTGCATCCTGTATGGATAGGGTTACCAAAACAGCCGCATTCGGTACAAAGCGGCACCACAATGAGCACGGCAACAATGGGCTCGATGTAGAATCTCAGTTGGAGCCACGGAGGACATCAGACTCCTTCTGCAAAGTGCAGGAAAATCACATCTCTTCAGCGACAAACTGCATGGTTTGCAGTGGACTGACTGGACAATGACACCCATCATCACCATCCGCCCCAACCTGAAAACATAATCCTGTTATATAGTTATATATAATATCTATCCATCTATATATTCTTTTGACAGCATACAACCTTCTCTTTCACCACTCTATTGGTCAATCTTCCAGTCCCATGGATTGTGGGGTGTACCTCTTGCTGGCTTGTGTACCCCAAATCGTCCCGTCACCTAGGTGCGAAACAAGAATAACTATAACACAAAGACATAAACAGGACGTACCTGGACCATCGTCTTGGTGTCCTCTCTGGAGATCCTCAAGTAGTGGGCTGGACTAACAGCCAGGACACCCACACAGGATGGTTCTGGTATATTCCATACATGGGACATAGTAAAGTAACAACGGCAAAGCAAAAGAACATTGACTCTACCGGTTACCATAGAGCCCCCCCCATGCCACATAGATCTGGGACATTATATGGCTGTGGGTCAAAACCCCGAACCCTGGTTGACCTGTGCAAAATGGACAGATTACTCTATGAGTCATATGAGGGATTTCAACCTCCCATGGTTTGCACGGTGAGGTTATGATCCACAGCCATACGTCATCCACATGCACGCACGGCGCACCCAACGCATTTGAAACTGTCAACCTTCTTGGTTGAGGTGTCACACCTCAAGACCCGAGGCATCACACCTATTTTTTTAAAAACTGATTTTTTGAGGTGGCACCCGTTATTTTATGGTGTTCTTATCGTTTTAAAACCACCAACAAACAAAACAAGTCTTAGTTGTTATGTGTTTTCAGAAAGATGGTCATATCCAAGCGACAAAGGATCCAAAGCCTCCGGTGGCGCCGCCAAGTCGTTGATGCGCACCTCGGGTGGAAGAGGCTTGCGGCTGGATGAGCCACTAAAAGTGCCACAGAAACTGCAGGAAATCCAAGGTCTTGATCATCTCAACATTGTATGTATGTAATTGTTGTATGTATATATACATGTACATAGTACATATTAGACGATATGTATATTGAACGATATATGTATATATACACGATAATAGGTCTAAATTATATAACATCATATATATATATAGTTGTATGTATATGACACCTACTTGTACTAGGTAATCCGATAATCAGTTTTGATTTCAACAATAAGTGTTCAGCAAGATCACTTGGAAACAAACATGATTCACGATGCATTTACAAGCTCAAACTTTTGCAACATCACAGTTGTCATATAATATGTCATAAATTGCCATAAAAACACATCACAGCACAAGGAATATGTCTTTAACAAGGTGCAAAGGTCAACTCCGCCACCAAGCGATTGGTGTCGCCGGCCACCAGGATCTCACGCATCGCCTGGCCACGGCTGAAGCGTGCCCGCGTGGAGTGCGGTGCGCTTCTCGTGCACGTCACCGGGCGCCTGAAACTGTTTAAGCAGCCTTGGCCCGAAGATCCTCTTGGGCAGCTCGCCGTCCTGGCGAGAATCGATCCGAAAAGGAAGCGAGTCGCGAGACAGCGAAGGACCCCAGGCATGGAGCCCAAGGAAAAAGCGCTCGTGTAGATGGATGCTTTTGAACATTCTGGAATTGAATGGAGGGTTGTTTCATTAAGGCATGCACAATGAGATACAACGTTACCAGCATCACCAGGCACCGCATCACGCGCCAACTGTCCAAGACTTTGAAGACTCAATGCAGTGTCCCAGAAAGCGCGCTTCATTGGATTCATATATGCCAAGGTTCCCTTCGACCAGTGCTCGGATTTTTGAGACATACCCCTGTGGGATCCTTGGGGTGTGTATTTGATAGGGGGTCTACCCCAATGGCCCTGGAAAAGGTCGCGCTCTTTCCTTTCCCTGGGGGAACGCACCGACTGTGTCGTCTCTCACCGGGGGGGCGGACGGATGCCGCTGACCGACGAAGCAGAGTAGGATCGGAGGCACCATCTTCAGGGGGGCACCCACCGACTACGGCAAAAAGGATGTATTAATGAGCTCACATGGCCTGAGTGTGAGTAGCCATTTGTTCATTCTTGGACCTCTTCTTTGGGATTCTTCTTGAACACATCACCAGAATGCGACAGAACACATCACCGCCATAACTCTCTTCCTTGGTGGTGAAGAGGTCCATGAGTGCTTTTGCCTCACTCTGCCGCAGTTTTGGATACTGGTGGTTGAAGAACAATTGAAACACACCAAACACACCGGGGCCCAAAGGGTAAAACGTGGCATATAACTTTAACAGTATGAACTAATATATATATATATAGATAATTATATTCTTACTTCTTTTAAACATATACATCAGGGCTGGGCTGCAGGCTACGTGTAGTATCTGCAATTAAAGGGGCACATGTCCAGTGAAGCTTGGCCCTGTACTTCATTCCGTAGGGTAGGGAGTTCCAAAGCCCAATATTAGGCTTTACCAATTCGGAAACTCTGCATTGAGGTGGCCGATGGCCAAAAAAGTCCCCTGATCTACGGTCAAGAGTTGATGAATGTTACTAGTAAGAATGCTCCAGGTAGTGATGCCAGGAGCCCCTAGTAGCGTCCTTGCTCCTAGTAAGGCCAGGAGCCTCTCGTAGCTTCTGCATTGAGGTGGCCGATGGCAAAAAGCACACTTCTCAGTCGTCCCCGACCCAGTGTACAGCTTTCATCACATCACCTGTGTGTGGGTGCATGGACCAAAGTGTGGCCAAGGGTTGAGTGCCTTTATCTGTGCATGGCAAACTCTTCCACTATGTCAGCAAAGAATAGTAGAAGTTGATAATAGAACTGTACGACAGCTAGCAGCTAGCAAGCTAAGCTGCAAGAAACAAAACAGGAAGTGTAACCCCTCTCAAAATTCCTCTCATGTTGGATGATACTTTCGTCAAAATTCCACTTCGGGGGGCACCCTGCGGCACCCCAAACCCAGAAGAACCGTACCCAAAAACCGTTACATTATATGAATACATGGATGGTCTGGGGTAGAACGACCAAAAAGCACACCCCACTGGCCAAAACATGTCCCACTCCCCCGAAAGACATCCGTCTCCCACTCCTCTTCACGCACCGTTTGACAGAACCAGGATTTGTTCGACGGAAGCAGCGAACTTTGGGTTTCGCTCTTCGGCTCGGTGGATGGTGGGGAAGATCGAAGAGAGTGATTTCCCATTCGCGATGCCCTAGTTACTAGTAGCGATGCCCTCTCCAAAGAATACAGAGAGGAATTGGTTCCCGAAAACGAAGCCAGAATCTGAAGCTCTCTCTGGTGGTCGTGTCCAGATATATAAATCGGGGTGATGGTGGTGGCGAAAGAAAAATAACACCTTGCAGAAACCCTGAATGCCATGTCACAACTAGACATGCTTAGACTATGGGACTGCGACCTACATACATGCCTCTGAATTGACTCTCTAGAATCTTGAAGCCATCAACAAAACAAAAAACATACCACAGGACCATCCAATGAGTGCCCAATGAACTACCCTTCGCGATCTCCATTGACACCCAAACAGGGATGGTCCTGGCATTCACTTGATACCGGACATGGAGTCACCTTATACCGTCTTTCCGAGTGGCCGGTACCACCGTGTGCGAAGGGGTGTCCTGGTGCGAAGGGCGAGGCAGTTCCAGGGATTCACTCGCAACACAAGTGATTTTGCGCAAGAACAATCATGTTCATGCATTGTCTTGAGGTCGTTGGAACCTCTAGCTTGCCGTAGCGGTCGCGGACTGGACTACTCTTCGAGGTAAGATTTAACATGTCTCCCAAGACCGAAGACCCCACTTATATATAGTTATTTGGAATTGTTTCGATCTTCTATGGGCTTCTCAGTCTTGGTCTCCTTTTGAGTCTCCTATCTAGATCAAGAAGTCGATAGTATTTCAAAATTCAAATATGTGTTTGCTTTGGTCAGTTTCATCCAGTGTCTTTTCACGTCTCATATCAACGACTTCGGCGCCCCTGGGTGGACCCGCCCACCCGAACGCGCGTGGAAAGCCTCCTGTTCAAAGCTCGTACCACTGCGGGAGCTCCGCTCGGGGGAGTCGATGCCCACACGGTTCTGGGTCGGTGAAGGCGGTGCTGGATCGGTTCGAGCGTCTCAGTTCGCGGACGCAAAAAGTCCCTCAAGGCCCCAAGTAGCGTCCTTGCTCCTAGTAGTAAGGCCAGGAGCCCCTAGTAGCGTCCTTGTTCCTAGTAGCGATGCCAGGAGCCCCTTGTAGCGTCCAAAGACCAGGGTATCTATACATGTATCTACATGTGATGCCAGCCCCAATTTTAGTGGTGTTTTTTCTGGTCCATCTAAAGGACAGCTTGGGGGAAACGTGCCATCTACCCTGAAACCACTCTAGGAACTGGGACATTATTATCAGGACCCGGTGTTGTTGAGTTTATTGACCATCAAGCAGTGGTGAGCCATAACAACCTCATTCTTCATGGTCAACTGCAGGTGGCGCGTTTCAAACGTGGCAAAACAATATTGACACACCATCCAGTAGTCAACACAGCTGGTGACTCAGCTCAACTTAGATATCTATGGACACCAAACCCTGAACAAATGATGACACATATAATGCAATTTGCTTCGCAGTGGTCCTCGAAGCAAAATGAAGGCTTTAGTAACCCTTGGATAAGGACTACTGTACATGAAGTTTGGCTTAGTCTGGTCACTGGTGTTTTAGATGCTTTCTCAAGACATGTTGTCAGTCTGGGCGACTTGGGAATGACTTCTGCATCCTCAGTGTGACAACAGGTCATGCACTGGCGTCATTCTAGCCCTTGCTCTTCAACCATACCAACCAGTTGCCAAGCAATGAAATAGGATATCTACACTTTGTGACCTTCGTGGCTTCGATTTCTGCACAAGTGGGAAGGTGCAATCGGAAACACCTGCTGCTTTGCGAGGATACCTATACTCCTGTTGGTGCAACATAAATAATACATCAAACACAACATACTTCAACCACGCACATATTCCACTCCAAACATCCTCATAGGTCGTATCAGTTCTATATGTTTTTTTTGGTTTGTTTTGTGAGTTGGAATTGGATGAAGAGGATTTCTGGTTGATCGATGAAGAGCTTCAGTTAAAGTTCAGCGACCCATCAAGAGTCTAGGCATGTCATTCCGGGTATTCCAGTTCAGTATAGCTGCATGGTATAGCCATATAGCCTCTCCTCATGCATCTATTGCAGAATGACCTAAAGGCAACTAGCACGACAAGTTGTTTTTAACTGGGCATCATAGGTATAGCAATCTATATCACTATACTATTGTGCAAGTAGGTAATGCTTTGGTAAATTCGGGATTGTATGGGCAAAGTTTGCTCAAAAGTACCGCAACCCACCGCAGCAATTTTGTCCACCGTATCTCACCTCTGCAATTAACCTCCAGGGTCGCAATGGAAACTGATGCAACGCACGAAGCTTAAACCATATATGTTCAACGCCCGATAAGTTGATTGCAAGTTGTTCGGCCTTAGTTGGTCATGACATCTCAACCCTCTACCTGCTCCATCTAGGCTGTTCTCCGAATGGGAGACATCTGGTGTACCCCTTCCAAAGCAATGCTGGTATCGCATAGGATATTCTATGTTGCGCATATGTGTATATAATTATATAATATACATATATGATCATATATGTATTTGTCAACATGATTAAACATGTTGCATCTAAGGTTCTCTCCATGTTCCTCTAAGATCTCTAAGACACAAAAGTGAAAGCAAGAACTGAAAGGCTTCAACTTGTCGGAAATGCACCATCTTTGCGAGCCCAGCAATGTGTAGATGGAAGACCCATCCACAGAGTGTCAAGGGAGTTCAGGAGATTGTTCTAAGACTTCTTTGACGGCCAGGCGTATCCAGCTGTTTCCTCAAAAGCTCTGCATTCGGACTTGCGATCCCAGTCGCCAGGATCGGCCAGCGCCAAATGGCTTTGGCAAAGTCCCCCTGGCCCTGGCGGCCAAGCGACCAGCGGGCGACCGGAACTCACAAACGCGAGTTGTCACTCGGAGAAAGACCGGAGACCCGAGTTATTAACCCTTTTTGCGAGTTGTTAACCCTTTTTTGTTGATTTCACATGATGGAAACGGCAAGATTCATTAGAAAGGTGGGGCGTGAACTCAGTGAACTCCGTGGCCATGTGTTCTTTTCGTAGAAACGTGGGTCGAAAGCCAGCCCATCAAGTTGGCTGAATATGGAGCACCGGGCAACTGGTTGGATTGAGTGATTTTGTGAGAGACTAAACCGCAAACCAACAGTCCGAAGTTTGACTTCAGCTGCCAAGACCAAAAGAGTTGCTGAGAACTCGAAAGGCGACCCTGGAAGCATGACCATCATGACCTGGCAAGTGTTCCCTCCTCTTTTGCCCAGCCAGCTCTGGATGCTTTTGTTCTCCGAAACCGGCGGGTTTCGTCCGACATCGGTGGTCCTGTGCATCGAAAATGCTGTTGTTGGATCTGGAGCGAGCGATGGTGAGCTTGGGATCATCCTGGACGGTCGCAAGGAGAGGACATGGTGCTGCGGAGCTTTCGGATTTTTTTTTTCCTTCGGAGAGTAGGGGATGGGGTGTGGTGAAGAGGGTTATAGGATTGCAGACCAAAACCTGCCCCCTGTGCCCCTTCAGTGGGTTGGGCGATGGAATGACCCCACACAAGAAAGCTTGTGGGTTCGCGCCATTGTGCCTTGCACCATGCTTCCCGCGCCGATTAGAGGTGAGCAGGTTCAAGGAAACAGGGAACATTGGATACCCTTAATCTTAATGCTGGGCCTCAAACAGTCTTTGTAATCAGGTGCTTGCCGCGCGCAGACTTCCGACCCTAGGGCCCAAGTAGCTTGCTACGCAATGGCAGCTTTTGACTTTTCAAACCCCTGTCCATGTTGGATAGGTTCTCTGACAGGCAGCCCATCTGGCGCACAAACACTTATGCGAGATCATTTGGCAGGTTTGATTACACTTTTGTCGCTAACACAAGGTGTTGCCAAGGTTGTCAAATCTGCTTGCAAAGGGTGGGGCAAGCAGTCGCACCCGTCGCACCCTGATCTCTGGGGATTGCTTTGTGACAAACAACGTTGTGAACGCCATAGGGTCATTCCATGTTTCAACAATACATCTCAAGAATTTCTACAGTTGCCCCACTCTCAATGTTACCCAGATTTGCTTTCTCGAGTGCAGGCTGCGGTCCGAGCAAAGGTACAAGGTTTGCAAAATCCTAGTGTGTGTCAGGTGCTTGTGAGTTGCGACGCTTTTGCGAAACAAGTTTTTTTTAATTTGTCACAGTGCGTGTGGCTGCTGAGTGCGCGCCCTGGTGGCCACCCCATGAAACCCCTCAAACTGGTCGTGGCCCACCATCTTACTAAAAGGAAGCGCTGGGAAGTTGGAGTTGGGAAAGGGCCTGGGGGGGCGCACTCTGGCGGATTTCTTGAAGGCCTTACCTAATGATCCTGAATACTTGTGGACCGGACATAGATGGCACGCCCAAATATGGACAGTGAAATGTGCAAATTGCAAAAAATATGTGAAATTCCGTCAATCATGGAAGGAGGTGACCCCGATTGTCCTTACACCGTCTCCAGCGGTGAGCAGGCCACCCGAGACAACTGATGCTGCAGACGAAGACAGGCTTTCTTGCAGGCCACATAGGCCAGCTCGCCGGAAATTAGCTGAGCAAGTCGTTGCAGAAATGAGTCGGCTATCGCATGAACGACCAGAACAGCATGCTGTGTGCATAGAGGGCGATGTGCTACTATGTAGGACATGTGATCGCCGGTGGTCTGTGCAGGCCCCGTGCAAAGTTTTGCGCCAACTAGGAGGTGAGAAATGCGGAGCTCAACATAGCTTGTCGGATTTTACAAAAACCTTGAGCTCATGTGACATGTGTGTAGGCACACTTGACTTTGCTTGCTCTGGATGGTCATTTTGAGGTGACGAAAGTACTCAGGTACTAAGACCCACCGGTGCCCTCCCTTTCGTGCAAGCATTCATCAGGAGCACAAGGATGCGTAGAAAAGTGAGCGCAAAAAAAGAGGGTTATAGGATTGGGAGAAGGATGGGGATGGAAGTCATATGAATCACGGCTCCGGCCTCTACACCCTCGCTCATGGTACCAACAAATGGCCGACAAAAGAAAAATAAGGGGGAGGTTCAAGGCAGAAACAAAGAGAGAGAGAGAGAGAGAGACTTTGATGATTCCAGGTGTCAGTGTCCGCGGTGCGACGCATCTGTCAGTCATGTGGCTGCTCGGAGAGGGACAGAAGCCGAACAAATGGTGGCTGAATCCATGTTCCGATCCGGGGGACAAGTTCAAATCAAATTCTCCCAAGACATAACACTCACAGTGAGCCTTTGGTACGTTCAAATGACCCTCTTACTAAGCTATTACAAAACCTTTGCATGGAAGGCTTTATGGCGCTGCTCACATAGAAACCCTTCGTTCTTCAAGAGGCAAAGCGTCTTTCCGAAGCACCCCTGACGGTCCCCTGTCCGCACCTTCTCCCAATTTTGGTACAGTACGTGATTCTTGAACGTCCTTTCAAACTAGCCCTAAAAATCTAGGAACCAAATCATTCGTGATTAGTGCGAGCGCTTCAAGCTTCCCCAGCCGCCTTTAGGGCGGCGGGGGAGCTTTCTTGAAGAAGCGCGAGCTATCCTGCGTCCATACTAGTAGCCATTTAAGCTACTAGATTCTCCCTTAATGAAGTAGGTGCCTACTTAAAAGTCGGGAGAGGGGGAAGCGACCAAGCAGCCCTCTCCAGGTCGACCTCTCAACACCGCATGATTCGATACTCGCCTTCTTCAAGAGTTTCAGATCGATGTATTTGGCCAAGCCTTTGATGATTTCATTCATGTCCTCCGAAGTCCGAAACGAACCGCGTTGGGACCGTTGGACGCCAACGCGGGCTCGCTTAAAAAACTACATGTCGACCCCGCTCCTGGATCGGAGATCCTTGGTCCACTGGTCTCCGTATCACAAGGAGTCAGTAGGTAAGCTCTCAAGTCCGAACAGAACAGACTGGCTGTCAAGTCATCGACCATCATCCACGGAACATGTGCTCAAACAGAACCGTGATATCCCTCAGCCTGAGCTCACCGCAGTGAGGAAAACATTTCGACCGCATCTTTCGGGTTGGACATGATGCTCATGTTTTTATGTATACCTATATATATATACTATATATATAGTTATAGTATGTTATAGTTATATATATATATCGTTTGCTTATCCGTGAGTCAGGGGACAATCATCCCCCGCAGATATGACTCATCTCTCAAACCCAGTCATGTCTTTCACAATCTTTTGCTAAACAGAATAGAACGTCTCTTCTTAAGCTCAGATTCAGAATCACCTCAAAAACCGGCCTCGCTTCACTTATTGTCTGACATGTCATGCTCACAGCCGCCCAAAACATCTGGGGCGAGGAGGGTCCGACTACTTGCCAGACCCCAGAACGAACCATGCAAAACATGTGTTCATGTATCGTGGTACCAACTTTCTAGTGAAGACGTTTTGATTTGGGGCCTTTGGGAAGTAGTGGTTCTTCAAATCTTCTGGCATCCTCCGATCCATCCACAGACTATAGTGGTTCACAAGCCGCTGTGCAGTTACAAACATATGATCTATTCAATGGATTCTCTATCGCTGGATGGCTGCTTTGTCGCAGCAATGAGAACTCAGATATCAAAAGAAACACAACTTGCAAACCTTGAAAAAACACCTTCCGTCGAGTGTCAAATTCATACAGCGGCTGCCGCAAGGACCATATTCATCGTTGAAACGATCCAACACCAAAAGTGGCCTCCCCAAAAGCTGGATGAACTGAAGCATCAGAATTGGATGAAACCTCTGAACCAACGTTTGGCCTCCAAAACCACCAAGCGGAAAAAACAGCTTTCGGAACCTCTGGCCCGACACCGGTTTCTCGTCAGTCCCGCCCCGGAATGGAACGAGTTTCGCGTCGTTACGGCGTCGCTTCACCACTCGTCACCGTCGTGCATACTCGGAAGAACTCCGAGTGTCGTCTACCCCATTGGTGCCCTCAACGGCCTGAGATTCTGATGAGTGTGCTTTTTAAATTGAGGTGGTTGACCAGGGGTGAATGTAGGTATGGCTTCCAGTCGTTTCCAGTTGCATGGAGTGTCTGGGCATGGTGCTTACAACGAAATTGAGTGACAAAAGCACAACATCTACCATCTCTGCCAGTGAAAGATAAAACAAAGACAAGAGCAAAGACAAGAGGGCGGGCTGCGGCAGGATCCTGCAATAGGCAGTCAAAACAAGCTCAAAAGTACCAGTGGCGTTAAACTTCAAGTATGAAAACATACAATAATTTAGATATAATATATATATATATATACACAGTTATACACATGACTCTTGGGATGCTGCTGCTGCCTGGATGACCACTTTTGTTCTGGTCTCACCGAGGGAACATCAACGGGATTTCGGGTTCATCATCAACGGCCATCCGCCAGTCCTCCACAGTGTAGCTGGTCAGCCCCAGGGCTCCCACTGCGTCGTGCAAGTTCCTGAACGCCAAACGTGGCCCAAACAACACGGGTACGGCGTGTTTCATGGCTCATATGGGTGATATGGGTCATTATGGGTCTAGAATGTTCTAATGGTTCTAGATGGTGACTGGGTGTTTCTTAGCGATTCACCGGTTGATTTTTCGGTCCGGCCAGCATTGCTCCATTGCACCATCTTGCGGGGTCTGTGCGTCTAAGTACATAAGATTATGTATATATGTGATTAGTCAACCAAACAAATTGCAAATCCTTTTTTAAAAATAATACCTACTGACCTACTCCATGTAACTGTGACCACACATGGTTTTTGCAAAAACCATGCTAGTCCCATGGAGTGTCGCAGCTTTAGCCGTTTTGAAACCTCACAGAGTTGACGACAGTGTACTGGGTGTCCGGTCACGTGAGGCTTCGAAATGCACATCCACAGGCCCCAACCACGGGCTCTACGGTCTCTCAGGTACCTTACTTGAATAGTTTACAGTACTCAGTTTACTCTTGTGTTATTGAACGCCTTTAAACGCATACCAAAAGTCTCCCAACATTAGTCCGAGCTCATGCAGTCCAGACATGTTCCAACCATCTTACGGTTCCAAGGCTCGTTCTCCGTTGCCAACTGTGAAACATGCGCACGAAAAACAAGTTGTTAAATTTATACATGTTCTTTTTCTTCGATTCTTCGGGGACGTTGATTCTTAGTAGTTATACCTAAATTTTCAAAGTATATATAGTGGAACATGAGGCAGCAGGCATGAAGCACAAAGACTACGGGTGCATATCAATGCACGTGCCCGTTGTTGAGTGTACGTTGAGACTCCAGGCATGTTATGCCCAAAGCCAAAGCAACCTCAAACGTTCATCCAAGTGAAGTGACTTTGTCCCTGACTTGCACACGCTACAAGTTCACGTTAATAACAGGGGGCCTTGGCTGATCATGGCATTGCTGGAATTCACTGGGCACATCGGGCACATCACTGAGCAGGCTGTGGGTCCCTCTTGCGCGGCCTGGTTGCCCTCCGATGAACACATCACATTGTAAGCGGGAACTGTAACTGGCCTCTTGAAAGAGAATGCTCCTCTACAAGCCTACACTGTTACACGCTTTTGCGACCTCATCACTGCCATGTTGAGTCAGTCAGTCGGAGGGTACCTGACCTATGAGTACTTGCACTTGAATTATCAGGTTTCCATTTCCACCCCATGCGGTCCGAAGTTCTACCTTAACGCTGAAGGTAGACCCAGCGGTTCAACACACACACACACACACACCGTCCCAAATCTGCGACAAGACCGTGTGAACCCACCCGTTCCGCAGCCAATCTGGCGCCTACCAGACACCAACTGCGTTGGGTGCAGGACGTTCAGGCGAACCTGGAAGAAACAGAACTGTTTGTTTGTCTCATGTTTCTTTTTTAAAGTGGTGTAGACTCTTGATTAATAAGCCCCCCATTTCAATCGGAAATCCTCTTCGTATGGGGGGTGAAATATAGTCAAGAGTCTGCACTATCCGGACCTGACGTCTGAGTCTTGAACGTCTAGGTTGACCTAGGTCGACAATTTGGTCCACCTGGTGCCGAACACGGCGAAAAACGCCGCGAGGTATATTCTATTCGGGAAGTACCAAGTGCATCTAAGTGTTGTTTCTGTTTGTCACACGCGTAGTAAGTGCAGCAGTAGGGGTGTTTCGACAAACCACGGAAAGCTCGAAAGTCGAAAAACAAATACAGCAACAAAGGGCATTTCAATGATGTTGCAACATGTGTATTTTTGCATGCCTCTACCTTCATTGCATCGTGCAAACCCTTCTTGCTCAGCAAAGACCATATTCATGGTGTGCTACCAGGTGTTCATTCTGGATGCACCATGGTCCCTAATCCAAGATGATCTTAAGTATCGGGAGGCTCCAAGTACCTCTACAAAGCAACTAGTGCATGGTTGTTGGGAACCTACCAGCTTTGTGTAGTCCTTGCAGTCTCCTGGTGCATCCTCGAAGGAAGAGCGCTGGATTAAGCCAGCACTGCTAACCACTACTGATACTGGCCCGTGCCTGCAAGCGCTGCAACATGGCTTTTCGCACTGCTTGCTCCTCAGGCTCCTGAGGTTGGTTGCGTTCGGGTGTCAGTGGCTTCGGTGAGAGGTTGAGGGAGAGCTTGCCAGCAATATCCATAGCAACTGGCCACATGGACCCCTGAAACCGTACCCGGTGGTCGCTTAAGCATGCCGTTGCCATGTTTAGAAGAAGCTATTTGATGACCACCAAGTCTTTTTTGCCCCTCCTAGAGTCCTAGAGGTGACTCTGTGATCCAAGGTGACTCAGGTGACTCAGGGGCTTCCAACAAAAGTCCCAATCGAGAGAACAAACAACATAAAAAGCAAATAAAGACAAGGACGACAAGGCCAAACGTTGCTACTCGTCACACTACAGCAGGAGATTACCCACACCACCTCACCACACAACCCTGCGTTACCGTATACACCTTTTTCGATACCTCGACATCTCATCTTCAGAATCTCAATGAATCTCACCTAGCCTGTTCGCTTCAGGGCCCTTCATTTTATGGTCTGGTCGCAGGGAAGACTGGATCATCATCACCTCCCGCCCAATCGCTGTGCACCGGTTCCAAGCGGACGGCTCTTGGACAGACTATACGCACTCTCCGCCCTCCGCCCCGTGCGGAGGGCGAACAAAGGGACCCACCCTGACTGCAATGAGGCGCAAGGGCGAGTTGTAGACAAACTCCATAGGTCCAAAGCAATCTCTAGACTCACATCTTCACGCACCCCATTTCACCCACTCTGAAGAAAGGACCTCGTACACGCGTCGCGAGCGATGCCATGATGGGTGGACCACCCTGTCTTTCTTCGGGTGTGTCCTTCTCTCGATGTCGCTCGGCCCGTCCTCGTTGGGGTTCGCCTTCAGCTGATCGGAGTCGTCTTCCTCGGAGAAGATGGGCTGCACGTCCTCGTGGCGCCGTGAGCCGTTCGGGCCAAGGAGCTGAAATCTGCGGGGTCCATGAATGAGGTGCCAAACCGAAGTCTATAGGTGCTGTGTTCTAAACTCAACACGTTTTTATTTTCCCATGAGCTTAAATGACCTGGATCCGTTTCACCATCTCAACTTTGCGTGATCTTCCAAGGACATGGAGGGAGGGTGACTGGGATCCAAGGCAGCTGCAGTTGGTCTCCAGAATTTGGACGCCAGAACCCTCATTGCTTAGACATTGACCATCAGAACAGGATCATCTGGCTCTGATGGGGACCCAAATCCTCCATCGCTCAAAGAACACTGGCCTTCTGGAGGAGTTTTGGTCATTTTCAGCGAAGACCACTTCACCATTGGGGGACCTGCTTCATACTGCTTTGACTGAAGCAAACCGTTCTGCTCTTGGCGGTTGGCCGTTCTGCGCAAGGCTGAGCGTTGGGAAGTGGATGCTCCAGGCCCAAAAGGCTGCGAAATGGCAGTGCTAGACTGCTGGGGTTAGAGTAAGAGGGTCAAAAGTACTCTGAACACAAGTCCAACATGCTAAAGAAGCACCCCCTGAGATCTGTCTCATATAGTTCATACTGCACCCTATAACAGTCCAAATACATGTTCTGTTCTTTGCCAAAGCAAAGGAAGCTCCTAGCCACTTAAAGACCCATTCCAAGAATCGTATGGGACTCCCAGGTGTCCTTGCAGAAGTATTTTTGCCAACCAACTCAGGTGCATATCGCCAATGCCATCGTTCCAGCAGGATGACCCTCCCCGCCACTCTCCTCTGAGGTCTCACCATCTTCGACATCCTCGTCCTGAGGCACTAGGAAATCATCCGACAGTCTTTGGAACGAGGAAATCTACAAATTCCTACAATGACTGCTACTGGAATGGCATCATTGAGCTAGGGAGAGCCCTCGTTTCAAAGGAAAAAACACCATTGTGCATTGCACAACTTAAATTTTACACCATTTAATCTCACGTAGTGGAGTGTGATTGCTCCTTATCGCTCCTCTAATGTATTCCCGGGAATAGGACACACCTTGTTCGCTCTTGACTTCGGGAACTCCCAGAAGGTGTTGTTGCGAGAAACCGCGATGCGGAGACGATGTACCTTGATCAAGTGCGTTTCTTACTTACAGGTCTGCTTGTTAGCGTCAAAATCTCAGGCCGACCTCGAACTGGTGTTTCTGGACGCGACAAGGGCGAATCGGAAGACGGGACCCAATATAAGGAAGGTCGTCTTCCAAGGCGTGAGAATCTTAGCAAAAAAGGACGCAGGTGTGAGATTCCAGAAGGCAGAATGGTCCAACGAGAGTCCCATGGTCTGGAATTCTGGTGGAACCATCATGAAGCATCTCCAGCGCAGCAGAATTCCTGCGGCTCAACAGCTTGACGTCTTTACCCAGGAGACCTCGAAGCACGGAGACCTCATACAGGTCGTTGGTACGGGTTGCTCCGATTGTTCCTTCGTGGAATTCCCTCGCATCCGGAGATTCTCCGGAGCCCCCCCGCATACAACACGGTCGGTCGCGAAAAAAGAGGATCGATGCCCGACCAAAAGGGAGGCTCTGGCCTCCTTGATGGGCTCTCCAAGCTCGCTTCCTGAAAGACATGAAGAAGAGTGTCTTCTGAGGGTTCGGAAGAGAGAACATTCAATGACTAATATACACTATTAGGAATTCTTAATTACATAACATTTTTGGGATATATTAAAAAACACATATTTGTTTTCTCGATACCAGGATATCCTTAATTACATTTTATATAAAACATTAATATAGTTACTTGTATATATATATATTATACATAAAACAATAAATATATATATATATGTTAAAGGAATCTCAATCGCTGTTTCATGGTTTCGGTCCTTTTACGTGGCAATGGTGCAGGAACCGTGTCGCCCCACGGGCACCCTCTCTTCCACCAGTCGTCTGGACCGATCCGCTGGAAGCCGTGGAGGCTGGAACCTCCGATGTATTGGTCATGAGTTCAAGACGCCACCATCAGTTGAGCTGCCACGAGACTAGACACGAGTTAGTTGGAAGGTGGCAGTCTGAACAGACTGTGATAAATGTCACCTGTCATCATCGTCGTCATTATATTCAAGTTGCCTTCATGTAGAATTCGAACATGCTCAAACCTTTGGAGCTGCATGTGGTGATTCTAACAAAACCAACACAAACGATCGGATTGCTCGCGAGTGAAGAACGTTGAAATGCCACTGGCCAACCCCAAACGCAAATGCTTTGGCAAATCCACATATGAATTATGTTCACTGCATTTGGTACAAGACTTCTTGCTTCAGGGTCTAAAGGTTGTTGCACCCTTTCTTCAACTGGCCTCCAACCTCTGCCCACGGATCTTCGCCCAAAAACATCAAACTGTGCCGGCCTTGCTGTGGAGAGAAGGAGATAGAAGGTCGAGTCGGGCTGTCTGGATTCCAACGACCCTTCCTGGGCGCTTTCAACGTGGGCAGCTCAATGGCAGGGGAGTTGAGGGAGTCAGCGACTTCATCGCAGAAACGCTTCGTTCACCAAGGGATTCCTCCTCCCCAGCTGACCACAGGCAGCTCCCGACGCGAAGCAGCTGAAGAAACGTTCCGGCAGCTTCCGAGTCTCAAGGCAGCTTCCGATCTGGAGTGTTCTGGAAATGGACAAAAACTGATTCTGAGGAAACCCGAGACCTTAGCAACAGGATGTACAAACAAGTGTAGAATCTGCATCATCCAGAAGCATCAATAGAATCCAATAGATTCAAAGATAAATACTACATGTATAGATCTCACGGAATACATCTCCTTCAGTTGGGTTCTCTCTTACCAGTACTTTGAGCAAGCATGATTTTGAGAGTGGCATACATCCCTGACATCCATCCTCTGCGGCATCAATTCCCTCATAAACAACTCCCCAATTCGTTCGTTTCATTTCAACCTGATCCCATCACTTTCCAAACGAAACATTTAGGAAACATAAGGGTGATTGGTGACTCCTTAGACTTGATGGTCAGTAAAACCAATGCCCCGGTCCGGGTTTTTGAGGACCACTGAAGTAGTAGCGCAATCGACCTGAATCTGAGAGTCAGCGATTGCAGCTCCGCCTCGAACTTTTCCGCGCTGCGCTCCACAAACAAAGGGCTTCCCTGGGCTGCTTCGGAATAGGCCTTGCGGTGCCAGTTCGGGGGATGGGCCGAGCGAGGACCCATCATCACAAGGTCTGTTCAAGGCTTCAGCGTGTTTCTTCAAACTATGTTAGTGGAAAAACATGATTGGTTCCTGAGTGCCATTTTCAGGTATCTGGAATTGTCCAAAAACAATTATATAGACACCAATACATCGCAAAACAGCGTCCATATACACCAAACAGAAAGCATACACTCCTCCGACTCCTCCACTTAAGACTATTATCGGTGAACAGAGTACTGGAGGTTTGTGTGTGTCTTATGTTTTAGGAAATCCATCCTGTAGAATGGGATGACCAACCTTGGCGCTCTATGAAATGCCAAACCACGTAAAACCATAAAATGAGGTGAGTCCGGTGAGTCCATGAAGTGGCCAAATCAAGTTCAATAGTGGATCAAGTCTATGGAATGGCCCAGGCCAAATGAGCTTCTCTGTAAAAAGGAGTTCCATATGTCTTATCTTCTACGACATAGGATGACCTATTTGAACATGACCTATTTAATACAGAATGCAATTTTCTGCTTTTGTCCTTTTTTCATCCAAGGTGCCACTATCAAATGGTCCGGGAATGGCATTCTATAGATGCCAATGCTCGGCATTCGTTCAGGAGCGGAAGTTCTATAGATCAAAACTGCAAACAAAAGCCAAGCAGAGGAAAATAAATAATATATAATTATATATATATATTAATATACACATGGATTATATATATATGGGTCATATTATATGGGTGATATATGTCTTCTTTCTCGAGCTTTGATGAGGATCAAGAATTGAATTTCCTTATTTGGTTTGCCTTTCTGAAATCGGTGACTTTCCCCAAGCCCAAGAACACCTGGTAAGTTCGACAAACCACAATGGTCTGTTTGAGGGTCTGGTTTAGAGCCAGCCATCCATACAGCTCCAGTGCATTGGCTATAGGGTTTCTTACAAGCGGTTTCTTCATTCGGTGGTGCAGGATGGCCTTTGCAACAGTCTTGAAATGTCTTAAGCACGCCACACCGCCACTCGCCCCGCTACTCGCACCGTGCCCACCTCCAGCAAATTCCGCTTCAGCACCCGCAGGGAGGCGTCCAGAAGCTCGCCGAAGGCCGGATCCGCCATGGCGGCGGGACCGCGGGGTCCAAGCGTCCGAGTTGGTATGGTTTGGTTGAAAGAACCGGGGCACTGTTTTCGAATGACAGATCCAAAAGCTGATGAAGAACTTATTTTTGAGTTGATTCGTGTGATTCAATCTTTGCCTTGATCTTTAAATTAAATGCCGCCTTTCGGCAAACACTAGCGCCAAAACGAGGTTAGACTGCCGACCAGCTGGAGCCTTGAGCCAAGCCACTGTTCCCAGCTTCATGGATGAGTTCACCCACCAAAGTCACATTGTTGGTTATATATGTAGTATATATAGCATATATTCTATAATATAAATCAAACCGGTGCTTTTTATCGTTTGGTTGTCTGGTGGGACCGACTTGAAAAGGATGTAGCCCCTGGGAAAGCTGGGCTGTTTTTGCTTGTTTGGAGTAGCAGGGTTCCCATGCCCTGGACTCAAAAGCTTGGAATCTGCCCTCAGACCCAGCAGGTTGGTAAAATAATCTGGGTTTTTGGAGGGACTACACGACATCATGTCCTCAATCGAAGTGTGAAGAACTTCTCGGATCATACAGGTGAGAATTCTAGACTCTAGCGACCAACATGACAAACAACATCTATACCATTGCTTCAATGCATGTTTACATGTATATATTGTTCTACACTTTTATAAATATGCTTCTATATGTCAACTAATGCATTGGGGTGGTATTCCCCTTCTGGCTTTGTCGCAGAAAAAGAAGGGTCTGGTCCGTGGTGTCTTGGGCGTAGTGCAGATTCCTCTTCAAGCTCTTCCGCTTGGCAGAAACTGGTGAAGAATCCCCTCAAAAATCAGGACATGCTTCACCAGCTTAGCAGCTTCACCAGCTTAGCAGCTTAGAATTCATTATAGTTATTTACCAGAATAATTAGAATTGTAATAGCAAACATTGTTACTACCAGCAAGGCACTTGTTACTAGCGATGCACTTGTTACTACTGCGCGCCCTGAAGGACCGAACGGATCCCATCCACCCGGCGCCGTTTTGGGATTCGACGGTCCCCGCCATTGAGCGGGGTGCTTCTGATAAGGCCAATGGGACAAAACACGTCTCCATTCGTTGGTCTTCCAGGCATCTCGAGGGATTTCTATCCAAGCAAAACCAGAAGGGGTCCTTCCTTGATATCTGTAAATACCAAAAAGAACCACCCTCTTCCCCAATGAAGCAGCATCGCTCACAAAAAAAAACTGACAATGACGAGGCCAAACACTCCCTCTATTGCATTAAACTTAACCACATTCGCCTCAGGTCAACCACCCCAATGATTCCCAATTATGTGCCATGGAGTCTCTGGGAAGCAGTTCTCACCATAAAATGGCCGCTCTTGGCCCGAGTTCGGAGGCGGCTGAAGGGACCGAGTGCGGCTTGGTTCATGTCTTTTTTTGGGGGGCTCCAAATGGCTTCAAGCTTCAAGGTAGTGTCTTGAAATTGCTCCCCGAGCTGCCGAAGCTCGAAGCCACGTCTCACAGTCGCAAGGACGTGCGGCTGGAGTAAGTTGTTGCTTTCAGATCTGAAAACGGGAAGCACAGAACAAGGCTGGGAGAGATTCTGGGCAAGCAACGGCAACGATCATAATTAGACTCGGCTTTAAAAATCAAAGGCTTGCGCGATCTTGCGCCAGCACCACCCAAAGGGCCCAAAGGGCCCAAGGGGTGGTTTATAGGCCCCCCCCACTATGTTTGAACCAATCACCATCATTTGGGTGCTGCTGGTGATGACTATTTGGTCAAACTGGCGGAACCCAAAGGAGTTCGTTCTGCGAATGACATGCGAATTATGTTTCGTAAGGCATGATGCACCGCGGAGAAGGGGTTCTGCTCTCTGGGCAGAACCTTCGCGGTCCAGTCCAGAAGACAAGGAAACAATGAGGAGCAAAGCATATGGGTGTGGGTCACTGTTGGACCCAGGTTGCCCACCGAAAATGAACAGAATACCCGTCAACCTTTTAGGGTGAGATCCAGGCGACCCACAGCCATATGGCTGCCAAGGTGTTAGGTAGTGGTATGTAATTACCTGGCCATGCTGAACACTTTGTGTGCTCCACCCAGAATCAAGGCCATTCCAAGCTGCGGCAGTGGAGGTGCACGATTCGGCTGGACGTGCCGGGCAAGCGGCGACGTTTCTATCTGCACTGATAACTAGGGACCGGATGGTTTTGGTATGGCAAGGTATCGCAGCTATCAGCTGACAACACACACAAAGGGACCAAGAAGATCTGAGCTGTCCAAAGACAGTTATATACAGTAGTTGTTCAAAGAGATCTTGCTGATATCCATCAACTGAAGAACCCGTTTTCATCCATGGAGTGACCAAGTGACCAGGTCAGGTAAATCACAGAAGACCTACATAGACCTCGAAACAGCTCTTGGCAAAACCCCAATTTCCATCGGACCCATCCCACAACACCGCTCGAGGTCAGGTCCTCCGGTCAAATGGAGGCATGACGATCTCAACAAAAGAATACTTCATGCTGCGAAAGACAGGCCATTTACGTTCGGCCATTTGAATTCTGTCAAAGGTGCTTTCCAGGACAAGAACAGGAAACACTCCTTTTACTTCAGGAGCACCAACACACATTCCGCTTCATCCAGCTCTCCATCGTGACACCCTGATGGTGCCCATCGGTTCGGCGGCAGTGCCCTGCCGCGCACGGAACGCTCGTCATTTTGCGGTCCGTGGGATCGTGTCCACTCGGCTTCGTGAGCTTCGAGGCTTCATTCGAAGAAATCTCACAGGGCTCTCAGTTTGAGTTCGTTGGGATCTTAGAGCCCCTAGAAATATTATATATATATGTTATATTATAGAATCTTATTTTGCATCTGTTGTTGGCACTAGTGACCCTGAAGTTTCGGGGATCCTGAGGTTTTCTTGTCGGAGCAAACCCAAGTTTTCTCCAAGTATGGAACATTTATTACATACCCTAAATGGGTAGACCCCTGAAACTACCCTAAATGTAGACAAATATGCCAGTCCCATGGAGTGTCTGGGAAGGAACGATCATGTACAGCGAGGTGATTCCCATGGTCACTCTATTGCACGGCACCCACTGAGGAGGTGCGGAACAAAAAGGTTTGGGAAATTGGTATTGGTCCAGAGTCATTCCCAAACACTCCATGAACCTAGCCTAACAATGACCAAACTTGCAGTGCTTGAAGAGGGGTCAGGTCAAGCTTCCAGTCATTTCCTGCTATCTCAGCAAATGTCTACTGTCATGACCTCCACCTTTTGTTGTTTGTTCGCACCTGTGGCTGCGAGAAACACCTGTTGCTTTGCCTGCTTGGCCGAGCCAGCTGCCATTAGTGTGGCTTGTTCCAATCGATACCTGGACATTTGTTACGGCCTGTAGTGATGTCTCGCTATGGTTCTTTGCGACACTTACGGACGATCTGGTTCGCCATCGACCTGAGTTTCTCCACATCTGGTCTGAACGAAAAAAGGCACGCTGAGGACCTGCGTTTCTCCGGCTGGATCAGACGTGGCGCCGTTACTGACCTACATCGGTCGGGGGGTGGGTCGCACGGTTGCGAGGTATGGCGGAGGATGCTTGAGAAATCCGAGAGGTATGGCACGGTAGACCAAACCGAACCCCGGTATGGCGCCTGGTTTTAGGGGTGGGGTAAGCCTTGTGGGTGTCGTTTGTCCCAAGGATGGCTGGTTGAACAAGCTTCCTTTGCATGCAAAGCCGGAAGTTGATCTTGGAATAGGTGACATATTGCATGACGTGGATATGTTGCTATAAGCATGAGTCGAATCTTACAAAGGACAACCAATGAACTACACTAGATTACTTATAGGTTTCTGTTTGGGATAAAGGTACATCTACAAGTGGCTTGTGGGTTGGGCAAGCGGTGGTCACAAATTGGTCAGGATCAGCTGGAAGAAACTGCGGGGACTGGGAAGATGCAGCTGTACCGCCACAAGGTCTAAGGTCAACATAGGTCAACCACCAAACCATTGCCTTTGGCGAACGCATGTCACCTGAGTGGCCTGCATTCTCGCAACAAACACATGATTCAACACACCAAAGCGCAATGCGGACCCTTTGGACAGCGCTCCGTGCATGATCGGCACAGAATGCCGAATGTGATGGCTTTGGAAGATGCCTCAACACTAGGGACTTCGGACCAAATGCCTGTCCTGCTTCTCCTGCCATGAATTCAACCACAAAGAACGTATAAATGTATGAAGCAAAATCTAAAATCAGATCAACCAAATTGATTCACCGCGCAAAAAACAAACACAATCAGAGATCCCGACCGTATGAATGCCGGTCCTGTGGCCCTCCTAGTCTTGGCACTCCTCGTCTAGGCCCGACTGGCCCGACTGGTCCCTTTGAGCTGAGACATGGACGGCATCGCATGGGGTGGACGTCTCAGGATCGCGTGGGATCTGACGTCGTGGGACTGGCCGATGGCTGGTTCTTTTGTTCTAAGCAATGTTAGTTTCATGGAGTGTCTGGGGATGGCAGGTGGCTTTCCAAAACGCGGAGACGGGTCAGGACCGAGGACGGAAGACCAACTAGGCACCCCCACAACAATCACAGCTACCGTTGGCCTGGCTTGTGCTACATAGTGCTTTATTTATTATGTTTTCGGCCTTCTTTCACATATCAAAGTTGAATAAAATACATGTTTTGCAATGCCAGCCACACATGAAGGTTCCAACCATGCATATTATGACACCAACTATATGATCGTATGACTCATTATATTGTATTGTTATATTAAGATGTCACACAGTAATACAGAATATATCATGATATACGTTGATGACATCTTTCTTTCTTTCTTTCAATTGGACACTTCGATTGGACGGATCGGCAGGTCGTTGATGACATATCGAAATCAAATTCTGTCAGCGGTTATGGCACTCATTTTCGATCTCCCGGATCCTGAATGCCATGAAAAACGATGGCCCGGTGAGACTCCTCATGGCCCACGTGAACGATCCTCTGTCCTGAGACCCAAAACGATCCGAAACTCAACCCCAAAATGCAACCAACATCGAGGTCATCATTGAATGATCTACAGTAAAT